AAGAAGGAGTACCTATTAAGATAGCAAGGCTATTCACCTAAATAGGACTTATAGGAAGCTGAAGGTTCCTTTAAGGACATAACTGAGTTGTTAAATGAGTATTAGACCAGTATAAAGAACAAGAAGAAGGCTAAGGGCCTATAATGTCGCCTAGGAACAATGCTACCCCCGGGGTGTTATTAGCTGACTAATCAAAGACAAGCAATTGTTAGCAATAAAGGACAATAAGACTATACTAGGCGCGCTACGACGCGTCAATTAATTAATCGTATACTCTTTTAAGGGCTCTACCTCTTTACTAACGCGCCCTATAGGTCCCCCTCTTGTTCCTTTATTCTATCGAGGCTTTAAGGCCTAGGCGATCTACGAGGACGGCGCGCGCGGGAATAGCGATAGTAATAATAACGACGGCGCGGCCGGCGCGGCTATATTAGTAATAGTGTTGCGGAGTATATTGCTATTTAAGAAAGGAAGGATACCGCTATATTAGTAACGGTATTGCCGAGTTGTTATTAGTTAAAGAAGGAAATTAGAAGAAAGTAAAGTTGGCGCTAAGACGACTAGCGCCGCTATTATTAATATTACTTACTATTGTCGCTACGCCTATAGACACAACCTCACCTGTACTACGAGCCTAAGGCACCTTAATCAAACCTTAATCAAAACTTTAATCAAAATTTTAAGCCGCTCAAAAGATTAAGCGACTAATAGACTAGCTAACTAAGGGCAAAACTATAGAGCTAAGCTAGCCGGGGTCGATCTTGCGGACAATAGGTTACTCCTCGATCTATCTAACCCTTTAAGCGAGGCGAACCTCTACTACTATACTTATAATAGCCTTTACCTATAGAAACTAGAAGAACTAAGTTTTTTAAAAAGATATAATTAGTTGACACTTAAAGGCTGCTAAACCTAACTAATTAGGGCTAGCGAAACTACGAATAGTAATAGCCCTCGTAATAATAAGAACAACCCTCGGAACGGATAAACCCTCGGAGCGGACATTTCTAGGTCTTTTAAGAGTAGACGCAGAGAACTCGGTACGACATTACTTAGAACAGGGGCAGTGCTATAATACCCCGTATACCTACCTATTATAGTAGGGAAGGTACGCTCGTATTATGATTAGTCGATAGTCCTTAATTCTTGTAGCTTTATATCCCTTTACTTTATTATATATAAGGATAGCGCAGTTGGAGTTAGACATTGTGTTAGAAGGTAAGGTTTGATATAGTTATATAATCGGTAGTTGCGTGTTTAATTTAGCGCGGATTAAGCAGCTTATTAGACCTACTAAGTTAGTAGCGATAGAGATTGGAATAAGACCGGCTACGAGGGCGCGGCCTTTAGAAGGGAAGCGTATGTTAGGGCCAAAGAGGCTACACGTGATTGGCATGTAACTAGGCCGAGTGAAGCTAGGGTCTTGATGCCTTAGGCAGAGCTTGGCGCTTGGCGTTAGGCTAACTCTCCTACCTTCCTCCCTCTCCTCCTAGATCCTTATCGAATACTATACTAATTTACTACTACCCTATCTACCTGCTAACATAACCCTTCTTACACTAATAAACCTCCTGCTAAGCCTATATCGATATCTAATAGCGTTATTAAGAAATCGCAGTTAGAAGCTAGCTCGCAACGCCGACCGACTTCGCGTATACCTAAAGCTATACTAACACCGAAGCTACGAGCTAACAATAAGAAGCCCTTTAGCGTAGACCTTATATAGGTCGTTTAGTATCGAATAGACGGCAAACAGCATAACATTATAACTATTAATAATATGCTAGAAGACGACGATATAGACTATACCTACTCGAGGCCGTATAATAATAAAATAGCGCAGTTAATACGGAAGGTAGAAGACAGAGTAGCTTCCTAGGTGTTCGTAGAAGGACTCGGCTTACACTAACAGATAGACCGTGTATTTACTATCTACTATATACGGCTATCTATACCGAAGCGCTCGAAGACTTTCTACGCTATTATCTACGAGGACGACTATTACGAAGAGGTAGCTAAGTTCTTACGCTATTGCGCTAATACTAACACTTACTATATAATTAAAGTCCTTAAGAGTTATAAGCGCGTTGCTATGCCTAATCGACTATCAACTCTACTAAATAGTAACTAGTTTATTAAGATTGATAGTAATCTATTAGAGCTACTATAACTAGCCTCTTAGGTTAAGAATAGCCGAAAGAATACTAACGACAAGACTAAGGAAGAATGCCGTAAAGACGACGAGGTATTCTCGACTGCATTTAAGCAGTTTAAATGCAACGATTACTAGTGCGACAATAAGAAGTTAGGCCGTAGAATTAGTTGTTACAAACGCCGTAGTATCTATTATAGTGTAATAGGCTCTTACGCGAAGGAATTTGCTAATATAGTCCGAGTTAATAGCGCTCTTCTATATTATATGCCTATAGAGCTTGCTAACAAGATTGTCGCTTCTTACGAAGAACATATATAAGCAAAGACCGCCGCTTCTGCGAAGAACAAGGCCTCTTAGCAATAGCACACAATTGACAGTCTTATTAGCGCCCTTACTGCGGAGCGACAGCAACCGACTAGCAATAGCGGTAGCAGCGAGTCTATCCTGCTAATAGCCTTGCTCTAATAATAGTAATAGTAGTAGTAGTAGCAACAGCAGTTCAATCCAATACTATTGCAGTTAATAATAGCTAACCCTGCTCTTATTAGCGCCCTGCAGCCTTAATAGCAGGTCTAGCCTTAATAGCAGGTCTAGCCTCCGCTATAGTAATAGCTCCGTAGCTCGCTAGTACCGCCGGATATTAGCACTATATTAGGTAACTATACCGAGACACCTCTCTTCTTAGTCTAGTTCTTCTAATAGCATCCGATATAGCAGGATAGGTAGGAAGCTATTACTAAAGCTATTATAGATAATGCCTAGAATCTACGACAACTGCGACGCTAAGAGAATAAGAATAGGTTAGCGAGAGTAGTGCCTGCCTTCGGCATTAGGTAGGCGCTTCGTAAGCGAGTTATAGACTTTGCTATAATGCGTTAAAGTAGCCGAAATTGAGAGGTATAAAGCCGATATAATAACAAGCTAGCTTTGCTAACCCTAGCTATACAGATTACTACTACTACCTATCCGATTTTGATTCTATAACTTAGAGATATAAGAGGCGATATTATAGATAGACCGCGTACTTTAAATAGATTGATTTAGATATAATATCGTTGACTTCTAGCGCTATATAGGTATTAAATCTTTAACAGCTAAATGTTTGACCCTACTATTGCTGTTCTAACTCGTACCTCGGCTTCTTTAAGCTTAGCCGATAATGCGAGTTTTGTTTTCCGATAGATAGCACTACAACTATATATACGATTTATATCGTTGTTTTTTTATATAAGAGCGCCGCACCTATTGTCGAATGCCCGGCAATAATAATTATAATAATATAGTGTTGTTATAATAGTATATAGGATATAGCTAAACGTCGGACATTTCGGGATTTAGTCCGATATACCAAGCCTCGAAATTTCTATACTACTAGGAGACTATATAGTAACTGCGGATAGCAACAATATAAATAGCAACCGTTAGAAGTTCTTTAGAAGAGAATACAGCATTAATTTACTATAGTATAGAAGGTCTTAGCACTCTACGCACAAATCGAGCTAGAATTTAGCGTATACTACGATTACTGCCTCTTATTCTACATCTCCGCCGGCATTATCGGACTATATTTATATAGCTTCTCGAGCACTTTATAGTGCTTGAACTAAGCCAAGTGGTCGATATTGTTACCCTATCGTTTATATACTAGTTCTAGGTATGCCTAAAAGTCTGCTTGCTAGTAAGGTAATCCATACTTAGGTATTGTTTGCTAGTACTTCTTAATCTAGTGCTTAAGGTGTTTAAAGCTTAGTTCAATAGCATTATAGTTAGGCGAATATAGTAGAAGGAAGAGTAGGTATATACCCTTCGCTAAGCACATCTCCTTTAGAATAGCTCTTAAATAGGTGCTATAGTTATCTAGCAATATAACTAACTATAGACCTAGATATAGCGTACAACGTAGCAATATTCGATAGCGTACGAATTCAATAAAGTCGTAACTATTAACGCTGCCTTGCTAGATTAGTAGCTCCGGAAGATAGCTATTAATCGTATATACTAGAAGGACCGTATATCGCTGCGAATAGTATAGGTGTTAGACATCCCTTGCTAGAATACCTTTTAGTGCCTATCTACGCCTTCTAAGTGCAGTCTTATTAGAGGTATAAGACTCGTTAAGGCATATAATCTAGAAGGCTGCAAATAACTGTAATTTAGCCTTAAACAGAGCCCTTGCTATAGGGTCTCTTTATAAAGCCGTACGAGACAGCAGTTTATATATAAAGTCGCTGCTTAACAAGCAACGACTAATAGTCGATTGTAACACCTATTCTTAGTAATTTTCTAGTAATATAATCTACATCTCTTCTAACTAGTATATGCTTCTTATTATTAAGAAGTCTAGTAGGTCGTCTCGTATAGCTAGCGTAATTATATGCGGCCTACTACCCTTTACTAGAAACACAGTGGCAGTCCTATTCTACCTAGTTATTCGAGTCTAAATAGTAGTACGAGAGCTACGTCTATCGCGGAGTAATAACTATATAATATCTCTACTCTTCTAACCCTCGTCTAATGCCTATTAAATAAGGTTCTCGTCTTGTTTAGTAAGTAGAGCTATAGTAGTAGGTTGGCTACTATATAGATCGAGGGAGGGGGGTGCGGCTTTAGGCAAATAGGTGCTAAAAATACGGCTTTTAGGCAGATGTGCTACGAACAATACTAAAATAGGTATTAGATATATACGAGAGGACTTAGTATACAAGTTAATATAGTATACAGTGATTTCCAACCGTGCAATAGGTATATTTAGTGAGATGTAGTAGTATAGCTATTAGAAGAGGTGTAAGGTGGTAGCCCTCGTTCCCCGCGAAAAACAGTCCGGGCCCTTTTGCAAGGCACCAATATGGGTGGTGAGGGACTGGGGGTTTGTGGGGATGCTTGGCGCATGGAGGACAGTGCTTGACTTGCGAGGTAATGCGAGACGAGAACGAAGCGTTGCGAACATGTGATGAAGGGTTGAAGTGAGATACATAGCAGCTGACAAGGGTGGAAGAAGGAACGGGTCGACATCAAAGTTGTGCATGGGCATAAAAGCTTATGCACGGATGGCAGAGGAAAACATTTTGCATCGTTGCAGATCAACTGTTTGGCGGAGATGACATCGATATTATAGATTGGAAGAGCTTGCATATGCTTGTAATGTAATTGATACTTCGCTTAACAACAGATACTCTTCTACCTACTATTACAATTGCGAGTCGGCCTTCTCGGCGCCTCAGGCGAGACTGGCCAATCCATAGTCAATGGCCTCGCCCATCCTCAATCTCCAAACCGGCAAGCCAAGCTCTCACAGAACAATGAATCGCGCTCCGACCCTGCGATCTCTCATCTACTCAAGACCACCTCATCAACGCCCTGCAAGGTGTCGAGATCCTAATCTGAGCAGTCGTAGCCACCACAGAACGGCCTGCCCAAGTCCCGCTTGCCACTGTAGCAAAACCCGCAGGAATCCAACGCTTCTTCCTGCCTTGTGCTTGGATTCCAGTAATCCCAGCCGGGGGAATCCCCTTAATCCGCGATCATAAGGAAATGGGGTAAAAATAATGTCAAAAAAAAAACTTGCCTTTCCGTTTACGATCCTAGATGTAGGCTGGTGGTTATCAGCTTTGCGTTTAGAAAATTGCTTTCGGGGCGCGGCGACTACGCCGTATTGAATCCGGAAGAGAGGATTCCTGGCGGTGGAAATGTGCCTTCTGCGTTAACGGGTTGGAGAGACATGGGGCGGTATGCGGCGAAAGTAATTGTAGGTGAGAGAACGTTGAATAAACACGTCCTCGTGTACAATGAGATGAGGACACCGCTCCAGCTCGTTGAGCACTGGGAGAAACAAGCGCAGAGATTGACTCAGACGCTGAATTGAAAAAGACGATTGAGGGTTGCGGTGATGGGATGAATATGCAGACCCTTCTGGTGAAGATTCCGGCGCAGTATTTGGTGTCTTGGGGGATTCCTGGTGATAGTCGGCCAGATTATGCGAAGTACCTAGGCTATATGAGCATTAAGGGGCTTTGCTCGGATTTTGAGCCTAGAACGTTCGAGGACTACGCACAAAATGTGGTTGGTGGAAAGGCGCCACAAATCTACGAGGAGCTGAAGGCGAGACTTGCCGAGATGATGAAGAAGTAGCATGTGAGCTTAGCCAGGGCGACATTCAGATGCATACTCGAGGCTGTGCTGTCACCTATGCAGTCAGCATGTCAGCACCTTGTCCTTCAACTTGCGACACCTTCATAGAGCTTATCAGCCACTTGTGATGGATCGAGTAGCTTGTTGGAATGTGCTGATTCTTCGCCATCCAGGCTTCAATTCTCAATAATACATCCTACCATGCACCAATCTGGCCACATCGAGGCGTCTTCGTCAAAGGAGTGACGTATCAGTACAATGGTGTGATTTGTAAACCGTCTGGTAGTATGATCCTTTTTCATCCCTAATCCTTATAAACGCCGTGATTCGGAGACCCTCCGCCCGCTCAGTACTATCTGTCTCCCACCGGTTCCGGCTCTTGATTGAAGTAAGCAAATCGCATGCGGTGAAACTGCAAGGAACACGTCAGCTGGTATCCACGAGAGCGCGAGATTTCACGACATACCGCTGGTAGCTTTGGTATTACTACCGCTAATGTCGCGAGGAAGTTGATCATGAAATAGGCCAAATCGTAATGTGTGTAATGCGTGCTGACGAGGAACAAGCAGATGGGAACTGCCAGCAAAAACTTCTTGGCCGGTGTGTATTGGTCTTCGTTGTCGATCTGCTCCCACATGTTGAGGTTATCGTAGGCTCCGGCATTGAACTCGAAAGGGATACCTCGCACGTAGTGGAACATGAGGTATGAGCCGGCCATGTAGGTGGTGTTGACAAGTGTCCATGACGTTTCCTGTGTTATCGAAGGGATAATGTCGTAGACAATCTTGAGAAGCAGAATCAAGACGAAGTGAATCATCCATGCGCCTGAGATGGACAGAGTATTAGCTCACGTGCCCATGTGTAGTAGTCCCATCTTTCACATGCGATGCCTCAACAACTGCTCTCCCGGCAGTGAAGACTCACCTTTAGCATTCACCCACTGGGCGTTGAGATTGGGCAAGATGGCCTGGTCGCTCTGCTGCTCGAGGCTCTCCGGGGGCTCCTGATACATCAAACTACTACTTCTCCGCCGCCTCGGGTTGTCCTTGTTCTTGACGTTGTTGGAGCTCATCTTGCGTTCGGCCGACTGCACACAGAGCGGCGGTGATGTGTTCACACCCTCGGCGAAGGTGATGCCGCCGCGCTGCAGTATTGTGGAAGACAGCTTGGCGGTGTTTTCGGAGGAGGATCGAGAGCGGTGCGGTAAGAATAGGAAGTTCGGCGCCAGCGTGCCGGTCGTGCGTGATTGTTGCTCCGACGTGGTGGTATGTGGTGTGTGTTGTGAGGAGAGAAGAACAGAGCAGAGCAGAGGGTGCTGCTTGGTCGTGCTCGTGTTTGTGACGGGCAGTGTCTTTGTCTCGATGTAGAATAACGTCGCTTGCCAGGGTCCTTCTTCTTAGCGGCCACGGGATGCACGCGTCGTCGGAAATAAGGTGCGTTGACAACGGTGCTATCCGCGCGGCGATGAGGTCTGGGCGGTGGCAGATGGGGGGCGTGCGCGGTGCGGGCAGTGGGAGTAGGAGGCTCAGAGGACAGCGGTGGAGGAGAAGAGTCGGAAGAAGCAAGTCAGGTGGTGGCGGGAGCAGTGAAGCTCGCTCGCCTCGCGGCCAACATCGAGCCATTCAAATGTCAGCTGTGGTGATGGTCAGGCTGCCAGGCCAGACCTACCAAACCGACCCAAACGACGCCATGGTGCAGCAGCAATTATGCACCGACCGCTATAGTTGGTGCTACAGCCGATCTGTAGTCTACTGTGCCTGGGCCCATACGGCTGTCTGCATGATCCCAACTATTCTACAACGCTGGCTTGATCTTGATCCCTATCCTATATACGCACTTCCACTTGTGCTTGCCCTCAGCATACAGCATACAACGTGATACTACGGGCCGCCACGATAACCGTCTTCCAAACATCTCTTCCTGCGTATGCGTCATGCTGGGAATCAAAAAGGGTCCAACCCACTGCGACTATTCGAGCATAACAGCAAGCAACATGCTTGTCGTACATGCCAAACGCCACTACGTCGACACTGGATGACTGCATTCCCGAGAGACCGAGCGTGATGAACGCCTACATGTATGTGTAGTAGCACAGAGCGACGTGGCCGTGGCCAAGAATAATAGTACCAGTCGAGCTTCCAGGCCGCATTCAAGCAATCCGTTCCTTAGAGTGCGTCTACTTCTAGGTTAGTAGATCGGTGCGTTGCCGATACTCTGTAATCTTCTACCGATGCTCCTTTTTTCTAATAATCGCTTTTTAAGGTAGACAAGTCGGTAGATTTTAAAGGCCGTATACTTTTAGTCGCTTAGGCAGTAATTAGTCGCGATCGTATCGCGTAATAGTAAAATCGCGTACTTCGAAGTCTTGTAGCTACTATAGCTACTGTATCTCTTTATTATTAGTATCTATCCACTATAGCGCTAAAGAAGGCTATAATAACGACTCCTACGAAGCGTAAGAATACTATTAAAAAGACTCTAGTAAAGAAGAAGGCGAAGCTAGCTACTAAAGGCTCCGAGTTTCTAGATATTATAAGATAGAAGGCTAAATATAAAGAATACTTCCTAAAGAGGGCAAAGAAGCTAAAGGATAAGGGGTTAATAAGCTATAGTAATAGCTTCTATATTAAATACTACCGCCGGATTACTACGTAAATAAGCCTTAAGTTTAAGTTATATTTTAAGGAAGAGGATTATAAGGCGCGCTAGCGTACCTTTAAGCCTAAATGCTGTCTGTATAGCGCTTACTTAAAGCATATAAGCGGCTAGAATAGACACTCTATAAAGCCTAGTAATAGAGAGGTTACTAACTATAACGCGTTAGCTTAGTTATATAACTATTATATAACTTCTTAGTAGATAAAGGATTTTTATACTATATTTTCGACTATAGAATAGATAGAATATAGGCAATTAGCGAAGCTAATTAAACCGCCGGTAAGGTAGTATTACGTAAGTAATCTACTACGCTATACGCAATAGTTATAAGCCCGGATTTGATCCGTAGTGTTAGACTTAGAGACTTCTATAGTAAGAAAGAATTTTCTATTCTACGAGATCTTTAATAATCGACAGTCTTAACGGCACTAACAACTATTTAACTAAGGTTCTATAATCGTCTTTAAGATTAGTATGTCTTTAATAATAGCTCTCTCGTTAGCTGGCCGCCTCGGTAGTACTGGATATATTACCCTTCGAGGACCAAACGACGAGGACCGCTAGTTTAACGTGTGCTGTCTCGCCATTTCTCTCAACTCTCTTGCTGAAGCACCCCATTTTCCTGCCACGACTTTTGTCTTGTACTCTTTCTCGCAAACTTCATCGCCCAGAATCTCCTCTCGGCAGCGGACTTCCAAAGACCATGTAACAACACATTTGCGCAAACGACCAAAAATGTCAGACACGGAGAATGAATCGCGAACGAACACTGTAGGCCGCAAAAGAAATGTACATGGCGAACTCAAGACACCCAGTTATCCCACGAGTCGACGTTCTAGCAAAGCCTCTGGCAAGGAGTCTGGAGAAATATCAAGTTCATCAGAATCTGAAGAAAGTGAAGACGATGAGCCGAATAAGCGCATTCGCCACTCACCAAATGCCGCCATCACAATCAGCGACAGTAGCGAAGGTGAGGATGGCGAAATCTCGTCCTCACACGCCGGCGGCGCATCCAGTTCATCCATGGACACATCTTCATCAGACGAAGATTCGGACTCTGAATCCGGTTCGTCAACACTCAGCCACGGAATCTCGAAGATGGCTGCCGAGGCAGATGATATGGTCCGACTCTACACCTTATCAAAAGAAGATCGCGACTTGCAGAAACGATATTTCAATTTAACATCGCCACCAGATGCGCTCGTCTACTGCCTATGCTGTGGTGAGCGCGGACACATACGCGCGACTTGCCCATCACGAAAATGCGAACATTGCGGAGCCTACGACGCGCATGTCCCGAGCGCATGTCCTACGCATCGGAAATGTGCATTATGTCGACAGCGAGGTCACGATGCTAAGAATTGCAAGAATAGGTCTTATCAAGGTCAGAGTGATGCATGCGATGTCTGTGGAGAAGCTGGACACGTGGAGGAGGCATGTTCGAGATTGTGGTGTTTTCCAACGATCGCTGCTCCGATACCTCGAGAGAAGCAAATTCGCGAGTGGGAGATGATTAGAGCGTGTTATTCTTGCGGGTCGAGCGAGCATTGGGGTGACGATTGTCGTTATATAAGGAGGGACGATCTCAACCCCGTGAGGACCTGGAGTGAGAAGAATGCCGAGAGGTTCATTCTGAGAGGTGGTCCGATTGATGATGACCCGCCGCTGGCGAATGGAGGTGATGAAGAGAATGATGATGACCCTCTTGCGGCGCTAGAGAGTGATTTGAAGGAAGGCGATGGAGAGTACGTCGAAGCTGACGACAGTGAAGAGGAATACGAGCCGCCACCGGCACCTCCGAGTCGACCATGGCAGATGGGATTATTTGATGATGCACGGGATTAATGCTGGGAATGCGGATTGTTGGATGTCTTGAACTCTCACCCGAAAGAATCAGGAGTGGGAAGCGTTGACCCTCACCCGAAAGAATCAGGAATGGGAAGTGTTCTAGGATACCTACTCGTTCTTAGCCTCTGTTGGGTATAGCAACGCCGCAATACGCCCTCCATGCCACCGCTACCTCAGACCTATTGCGGAGGCTGATATGGCTTGATCAGCATCTCACTGAACCTATCACAATCGTCAGTATCAGCCTAGTCTCATAACCTTGATGGGTGCAAGTTGACTCACTTCGATATGCTCTCGACGCCTCTCACCTCGTCCACCAGTAATGGCATCTTGACCACATGGAAGTCCTCCCCATACAAATCATCAATCTGCTCCAGATACTTCTTCTGCATCTTCCGTCTCGAATTGCACTGCTCGCAAGGATTATCCTTCTTGGGGAACAGCAGCTGGTTCACCACCATAGCATGCGTATCAATCTCATAACTCCCCAACTCCTGAATCATGCGCTCAGTCTCATACAGCGACAAGAACTCCGGAATCAGCACCGGCACAAAAGTTGTGAGATCCGGGTTCTTGAACTGCTTATTCACTTCTCCAATTGTTTCTTGCAACTCGTTCATCTTCTTCAACGCATCATCAAAACTCTGACCATTCGGTAGTCCGCCTCGTGCACCAATCAAATTATTGATCATAGGACCAAACTGCTGACTCAATTGACTGAGCTTCTCCAAAGCTTTCTCCAAAACCGTAGGAAATTGCAAGAATCGCAATGTATGTCCCGTCGGCGCCGTATCGAAAATTATCAGCTCATACTCCATTCCTTTCACCTGCTTCAACACTTCCGCAAACGACATGGCCTCGTCGACACCTGGGATCGAAAACGCCATATCCTGGAACATGTTCCCCACACCTCCTAGTCCAGCCATAGCCTCTTGAGCATCGTCTCCTCCCGCAGCGATCAAATCTGTAATACTGCCGTTTGGATCAATCTCCATTGCTGCGAGTCCCTCCACGCCTGGCACGGGTTTTGCATCTTTTCCGAATTTCACGCCGAAGGCGTCCGAGAGGTTATGGGCTGGGTCGGTGGAGATTAGGAGCACCCTCTTTCGGGCTTTGGCCATTTGTACGGCTAGAGAACAGGATGTTGTGGTTTTTCCTACGCCTCCCTTGCCGCCGACGAAGATCCATTTTAGGGTCTTCTGGTCGACGATGGGTTTGAGGCTGGGTTCCATCTCTTCGTCGGCCATGGTTGCGGTGTTTGAGGTGAGGGTGCGTAGAAGGTGCTTTGGAGGTCGAGGTGGTATAGAACAGGTCGGGGGGTCGGTGGAGGGAGAGAGGTTGGCGTCCTTCCAAGAAACGAAACGTCTCGCGTCTGCTTCTGACCTCATCAGAAGACCGTGGGGCACCTGCCACATGGAATGGAAGCTCAGACCCTGGTCGTCACGGGAAATTAGTTTCACCGACGAGGGCGACCATTCAAATGATGAGCAGTCAGCACGGATCTGGGTCCGACCAAGCTTTGGTTTCCAGAAAGTCTACCGAACGACATGACCACTTTCACAAACATCATCACTTTTCGCTATCTCTTCTGCCATGTCTGCGCCAGGTGCAATCAGAAGAGCTTGGTTCAAATGGAAGCAGCTTCGATTGCCTTGGAGAAAGACATTCCTGATAGGATTCGATCTAAGTGGAAACACATTCTGGGAGTTCAAAGATGCTTTGAACGCGAACCGATGGCGGCGGATTGTCAGATATAGTCGCGCTACACATTATGCCGATGTCAAGATAAGTCGTACGTCGCAATGAATTCCTCAGAATAACCCAGACTAAGCTGAGACATTACCTCAGCACAATGGCATCAATGGCTGCGGCATACTCGAGACAAGCCGCCCACAATTCAGGAACAGCAGTACGATGTTTCTAGACAAGCCATGATGAAACAACTTGCGGCAGAAGCAGATGAGCGATGGAAGAGCATACCTTCATATCTCGACAAGCCGAACGTACAACAACCCCAACCTGCGATGGGAGTGCAAGATCCGGGAGGCTATGCGTCACAGACAGAACCGGAGCACAAACAGGGCGTAACGAACCTAGTTGGCGAGCTAGAGAAGGTAGAAGCCGTGAGCGAAGGACAAGACACGAAAGAGATAGATGAGGGCAGGCTCAAGGGCAAGAGCAAGGAGAAGAGAGGGCCGAAGCCGAATCCTTGGGAACATCTGCAGCCGAAGGGCAACCCAGGCGAGGAGTGGCAACCAAATTCTTGGACACCTGGTGTGGCTCAGAGACGGTAGTAGAAGAGCATGATGGGATGCCAATGATTGTATGAAAAGACACATGTAAGGTACAGATACCCAGCTCACGCAGCATGACGCTCAAGCTTCAGCAGATTCATCAACTTCCAAACGCGATGAGAATCTGGGATGTCCAGTGAGCGGACGTTGTGCAAGTGCACGTCTCGGTATTGAAACAAGCTCAAAAGACATCGCGGGAGTCGAACCTCGCATCCCGGGCGGCCATTGGCGACGGACAATGCCGCATGTGCAAGTGTCGCTCGACATCCGACGTCGCCATGCAGATCTTAGCATTGGACCAGATGGCCTTTAGATTGGATGGATGAAGTCCAATGTGAGCGTGTGGATACCAAGAAGTGCGAAAATGAATGAAATCACGATCCCACGATACAATCATCTTTGTGCCTCTTTGTCTTCGGCATGCCGCATCGACGTGTCTTGGCAGCTTCATAACTCAACCGCCGGAAAAGGAGTCTCTCAAACACAAAGAGAAAATTCATTGTTTGATTGACCACTTGTGCAGATACTCGCACCACGAACTGCACTTTCACGACATTGGAGCACGAACTTGTCCAGGCGTAGTATCTATCCAGGTGTAATATCTATACTATGGCTGCCTCTAACACGCCTGATTTCGATCGATTTCTGGATCGCTGGAAATCATACTTTTCTCGACTGGAACGAATGAATGTCTCGACGGCACAGATGGCTAGTTTTCAACAGCTTTTCCAACATTCAACTCAGCTGGTGAACCTGCCCTACCCATATATCCCTCAAACACCGGTTTGGGAGTACTATATGACCCCCGACCACCTCTACGATGATTTACGGCAACGTGTTGCCCTGGCAGAAACGCTATTTGAGCAGGACACGCTTAGAAACTACAGGGCTGCAAAATGGTATCCCCACATCGAAGATGCTCGCAACAGGTGTGGAAATGATGGCGCTGCTTATCTTGAACAAAAATGGACTGAGATAGTAAATCAATTTCGATCTACCTGGGACCATCGGGTATTACGAGAGGTTACTTCAAACGACATCTGGAACGCTCAATGGTCGGGCCGTGTGAGCCAGATCGCAGCACTGCATCTGCCACTGAGGACGCAAATTCGATTCGACGACCTTGTGCATCGCATCCGGGAGCTTGCTCAGGCCAATTACCCTCTCATTTTTCCTCATGAAATGCCCACTGTGGCTACAATCGGTGAATATTGTGACGCGCTCAACAACGAAATCACCGATGTGCTCGTGGGCAGCGTTGACCATCAGTGGATTGGTTGGGACAATGATCCGAGAACACGAGCAAAACACAATCGCTTACGCAGCAATGTTGCTGCCGGATTTGCTCCTTATGGTCCAGATGGGCAATCTCCGACGGAGGACACGAAGAGTGCAGCCATCTCAGACCGAGCTGGCAGGCTGTCATTCGGGAGCAACCGTGCTGCTCTCCCTGAGCAAGGCTATTGGATAAACAAGGACATACTCGGAAAAGGTGGCTGGGGCTGTGCGAGCATCTGGTTACGATATGACACAAATGGTAGTATTGTTGAAAGAGTAGTGACGAAAGAAAGCTACCTTCAAGGCAATTGGGATAGGCCAAAATACTGGCATGGCCCTGCAGCTGATCGTGTCCCGATGGAGTACACACTGCAGAAGACACTCAGTAATGTACCAAAGGCCAACAACATCGTAAATTGCCGAGCATACGGCTTGTATGAGCGGTACAGGATGTATCGGCTCTACATGGAGTATTGTCAGCACGGAGACCTGGAGCAAAGCGTTAAGGAGTACTTTGGCTTCTCTCAAATCGTCGACCAATCGGTGATTGGAGAAAATACCATCTACAAAGTGTGAGTGCCTTCCTTAGTTTCTACCTGACTAGCGTTGTACTGACTTGAAAAGCCGATATCCGGATCGCCTGCTGTGGCGCATATTCAAAGACCTAGCTGCGGCTGCATGCTTAATGGCGCAAGGCTTTCTTCCTGGGAATGGACCTGTCGATCATGACCATAGAGCAATTTGCCATCGCGACCTCAAGCCTGCCAACATATTCCTCGCCACTCCAAGGGACGATTCAGATTTTCCGGAGGCCAAGGTCGGAGATCTAGGCCTCGCTGTATTTGCGGATAATCCTGAGACTAAGCACACAGGTTGCGGATCTCATGGATATATGGCGCCAGAAGTATACACAGGTGGTTCGCCTTATCCGATCGGACCAATGTCCGACATATGGTCGATTGGTCGTATCATGCTTTGCCTGGTTAATCTGAGCACTGACGAGGAGACCGAGGAGTGGCTTCCATCTCCTGTTAATCTTCAAACAGTCGTTCCATTCAAAATTGGAGCTATCGATGGACGTGATCCACTCCTTTGCCAGCTGATTAATGATTGCCTCAGAGCCTACCCCTCCGACAGACCTGATCCTATCACTCTGTACAAGCGACTCGAAATGATGAGCGAGAAGTTTGCGTCGGCAAAGTTTGACGAAGAAAAGGATGTTGTGATCGTGGCTCCAGATCGCTACAAGCCCTTCGCTCGTTAAAATTCCAATGATCCAAAGGTGTAGGGAGGGTTGCAGCACTCCTTGCAGTCTATAAACAGTCACAAGCTGTTCAAGGTGGCTTTTCATGCAGCTACTGGACTATGAAATCACCACCCTGAGAACTCTAGCTGCTTGGGGACACACCTTTGACATGGCCCGGACCAAGACTACCCTTCGGGAAGCCTAAGACAGCGGCAAACAACCAGTGAATTTCCCAGAATGAAAGCAGTACTTCAACCATTCGACCAATCCCTGCCTCTGGCATATGCAAAGATGAGGAAGTATACACATGCAGAGCGACTCGAGACGCACGGACTGTGGTTGAACAGAGTGAAGCAGACACTTCACCCATTCACTTTTCGGTCGCCTAGGCAACAGCGAATCACTTGTGCATCGCTTTCTACCTTATAAGCACATCTTCTGATCCTTCTTCTTTCCTTTCTAAACACAGGAAGGCTCCGCGAATCCAGCCTCGGCGGTCATAAGACTACACAACGCCATCGGATCTTCCAACCCTGCCACCTCGAATCTAGCCCTGCCTCCGGCACTCGACCAGAACTGACTGCAGTTGTGTTACTCAAGGACTCGGCGACTGAACCTCTACGTTCTACGCTTCAAAACACCAACTTGCGACATCTCCCGTTTCTTCAAACTCACTTGTCAGTATCGGCACTCCCTCAGCATGTTTCCTGGACAGTTTGGCATGCCGCCTTATGGCCCTCCACCACAGCCTCGATTTCCGCCTTGCGCTCTGCCACGCTCTGCATCTTTTCAAGCTCCGTTCAATCCGATGATGATGCCCAACGGATCGCCACCACCAATGAGCGGCGCTTTCCTCCCGCCTCGACAGCGTCGACGAGCATCATTTGCGGCCCAGGGCATGCGACCGGCATTTGATATGGGCATGCAAGCTGCGAGTCCAGGCACAGCACCAGGTCCATTTGGCAGAGGAATGAGAATACCAGGCCCTCCTCCAAGTTTTGGTGCTGTTCCAGGTGGACTGAGGAGACCACCTATGCATGGAGGAATGCCACCGATGGATATGCCTATGGCGCCTCGAGGTCGGCCAGGCCAGAACTTCGATCCGTCGCGCATGACTCCGAGGTCGCCATCTCTGCCGCGCGGTCGGTCTCGAACGCCATCAATACCGCGTGGTCGCCCGCGAATACCATCATTACCGCGTGGTCGCTCGCGTGCACCATCAATATCTTGTGGTCGCTCGCGAACACCATCAATACAGCTTGGTCGCTCGGGAATGCCATCTATATCGCGTGGTCGCTCGCGGGCACCTTCTGCACATCGTCGGCGGCCGTCTTTCGGTGGACGTCCAGACGTCTTCGAGTTCGGGCCGAGCGATCCGCCAAATGTACTTCTACCTAGAAACCACAAGTCGCCTCGTCGTGGTCGCGCTTTCGATCCGTCACGCTCTCCAAAGTTGCGAGGAGGACTCTCACCAAATCGACCACCGTCGCACGGCCACGAAGATCGAATCCAGACGGCATTGAAAGATAGGGACGTCATCACTCCTGGGTACACCAAAATCAAGACGCTCACGCACGGAGGAATGTCTACAGCGATCCACCTGGTCAAGAGCAAGCGAGATGGAAAGGTCTACATCGAGAAGCGGATTCGAGTTGACGGCCATCATCGCAAGAGAGCACTGGCGGAAATTCTCGCACTCGAACTCATTGTCAAGGAGTATGGGTGCGGCGGCAATCTGAACACCATGGTGGAGTACAAGATCTCTGACCAGCGGCAACTTGGATCGCTCATCTTGGACTATTGCGACCAGGGATCCTTGGAGGACCGCATGAGATCCGTTGCAAAGGCCGGTGGAGATTTTTCAGAGACTGCAGTCTGGAATGTGATCCAGGGTGTCGCTTCTGGCTTGGCGTTCCTCCACGACGGCACTATCAATATTCAGCCAGGCAAGCACGCTGTAAAGCCAAAGGACTGGGACACAATGTGTCATCTGGATCTCAAGCCCTGCAACATCTTTCTTCACAGCAGCGGCGGTCTCGGCGGGCAGAGCAAAGTGATCCTGGCAGACTTTGGTTGCTGCGTCTCGCTCTCAGACATCGAGGGCGGTCGTGAGGGAGCGATTGCGCAGCCATGTGGCACTCCGGTCTGGTATCCTCCCGAGGGCGATGTGCGAAAGCCAAAGTCGTACGGAACCAAGACCGATATGTGGCAGCTTGGGGCTACAATCCATGTGCTGTGCCGCATGTGCATCGATCGTTATCCGCCTGCTCCAGACCGCAACGTGCTGTACTCTCGAGATCCGATCGGCTCGAGATACGGAGAGCGGTTGCATGCCATGGTTGAGATGCTGACTGAAGTCAGTCCGCTGAAGAGACCTGCTGCGAGGGACATTGCTCCGGAGGCGATGAAGATCATGCTGGAGAAATTGGAGGGCGGCGGCAGACGGGTAGGCAGGCACTACTAATCTCACCTCGGCCATGATACATTAAGAATGGTCCACCTCCGCATGAGGAGGAACATGAGTGCATCGCTCGAGTGCTCAAGGCTACGATCAAGACAGTATCGCACAAGAGAGTAGGGAAGGCAGGTATGAGCATGAGTTTAGATATCTGGTATTCGAATGGATGCTGGTAGACTTTTGTCCATTTTTGTCGGAAGATGGCAGCTTTTATAGGCAGCGGTGAACTAGCTCGCTCGCTGTTGTGATGAAGCCTTTGTGCGTGAAATGATAGGCTCGTCGAAGAGAGGCGATTGCACTCGATGTTGATGTTCATAACAGAAAGTGACGTCGGCAGTGAGGTTGAAGCTTGATGCGGGCCACGGCGAACGCCGATGGCTCCCATTGCTTCTACCATACAAAACACTAGTCCCTGGTCCGCGTCGCAGACGCGGACGGCGGGCCTTACATTATTATAACTTCTAGGCGCCGCGGCCATTACTATCAAATCCGGGCGTGCCGGCCCTCACTTCGTATAAGTTACGCGGGTGCGAATTTCCTGTTACGGCGGGCTAGGCCGGTTACGCTACGCGCGCTAAGCTCTAATCGCTTAAAATTCGACTAATATCGGCTAATAACTATTAAACCTTCTACTACGTCTACGCCTTTAATAACGCTACGTAGTACTACCTCTACCTCTATATACCCTCCTTAATTAATACTCCTACGAGTAACGCTATAGTAGAACGTGTTACTAATTAACAGTAAGCGATAACGCCTATAACGCACATTTAGCGCTAACCTCTTATAGTTAATATATCGGTTATCTCCCCTTCGCGTAGCGCTATAATCGACCTTAGAACTCCTAGCGGCTCTCGCTAGGGCTCGGGCTCTCTTTACGTCCTATCTCCTATTATCCTAGGCTCCGACGATATAACTTTCTCTAGCGCGAACGGTCCTATTATCGACGTTATTAATAGCGTCTAGTACCTATATAGCCTTCTACGTTTTATCCGTATCGCTAAGTTTATTGCCTTCGTATAGGTTCCCGGCTTATAGAACTAGGGTAGGTATATCTAGTAGCGCTCGACGCTTTAGAAACAAAGTCCGCTAACTATTACTAGTCCTAGTTAACTTCTACGTTACGGCTCGACTATATAAATTGCGTAATACAAACAAAGTCGATATTATATATAACAACGTCCGTACTCTATACTAAAACATCCCGAACCTCGTTACCTACTAGCCTAGCTACTAGAACCCTACTATTCGATACGACTTTACGGGTATTATCTTCTACGACTTCTTTACCGACTCTCTCCGTTAGTTGCCTCTATACTCGACTAGTCTCTTAGGCACTAGTATTTACACTCTCGGCTACGGTCTAGCTAACTAATAGACTCGTCGGTAGCTTATTATTGCCGAATAGCTACGTACCTATAATATACTATATCTTAACCTCGCGTAGATCGAGGACTATTAGTAACGCGTCCTCTACTACTCCTTTATTAACGCCGACCTTATCGCTAATCCGCGATATATATACTAGAAGTAGCTATTATCGCTACCTACTAAGTATCTAAGGTAGCGACTAGAGAGCTAAAATAGAGTAGATAGCGTCGAGCTAGCCTAAGAAATATATATAAAAATTCAAGTCTTTTTAACTTTGCTATCTCTCTCTTCCTACGTACTTACTCTACTACTTTCGTAAGAATCTCTTCGCCTCCCTACTACTACTTTATAAGCCTATCGTTGTTTTCGCAATCCCTTTTTAGAGATATTCTATACTACGACTTACCTTGTTTGCGACGCTATCTAAGCCTTTCGAAATCGCGCTCTAGAGTCGTATATCGCCCTCCTCCTAAATAGAGAAATTTATTCCTACCTACGCGCTTGTTGCACTCCTCTATTATAGCTCTATAGTTCTTCGTAGGATCTCTACCGACCGTTTAACGCTTTATTAGCGCTAATAGTTCGGTATACGCTATTAGTATTCCGCTTATAGAGCATACGGTTAAGATCTTTAAATAGTGCTTATACGACCTTTCGATCTTAGTCGTCCTATACGTCGAAATTCTCGACCGCTAAGATCCTTAATAGTGCCGTCGCTATAGTCTTACGCCTCCTATTACGCGCCTCTTCGAGTAGTAGTCCCGTATACTAGCATACCTAATAGATTTCTATATCGAGGATATAGTCGTAAAGGTCGATAAGCCGTTTTCGAATAGATCTAAAGATTTCTTTAGAATTATAGCTATCTTAAGACGCGGGAATAATATCTTGTACGAATAGACCGAGCGTAGGGAGCTTATTCTCGATAGGAATAGGACATTTCGGGTTAAGAATAATAGAATTATTTCCTTACTACCGCCCTACTATCCCCTTACGCTCCTCGCTATCCGATCTCTACCGTTTCCTACGTATCGGAGATCCTATATATATTAGTATAGCAACTATAAGTTAGAATAGTCTGCCGTAGGCTTACTTTCTCTAGATTGCGCCTAGTAGTACGAGCACCGCTTCGGTTTATATAACGCTACGCAATTTATATAGTTCCCGTTCTTCGTAATAGTATAGCTATATCTATAGCCTACGAAATGCCCGCTATATATATAGTAGTTGCAATCCGTCTGCTATATATAGCCGCCGATAGTATACTAGTCCGCGTCTGTCCTAAGAATATAGATAAAAGCGCCCCTCTATACTCGAATGTCGGCGCTGTTCTAAGTGTTTCCCCTAAGCGACGCGATATATTTAGTCCGAAATATTATATCTCGCCCTTCTCTCGCGAGTACTCGCCGAGCGTACGCGCTATATACGTCTTATAAACCTCGGATCTCGCTACTTTCGTACGCGTTTAAAACAGCTTAGGCGAACGCTTTTAAGTAATCGTAACCCTCGATTAGCGTAAATCGTAAGCTAGGTAGAATCCTAGGATTTCCGGGATAGTCTACGCCGTCGATTAAAGATAGTAGCGACGCCGCGGAGTAGGATTTAGACATAGTACGTAGAGTACGGAGAAGAAGGAGGAGCGAAGGTAGAAATCTAACGTCGGTAGTAAAAGGTAATTTATACCGCGAGTAAGTAAGTAATCTCCTCCCTATATAATTATATACGATTAACTATTCTATTTTCTAAGACTACCTATATATTTTATAGTAACAGTCTTTAACTTATATCCTTAGACGTATCGCTACTATCTACGCTGTCTATATCTTCGCCGATATATCCCTACCCGTACTATATAACTTCGAGTAGCGGATTAATACCGCTCTCTTACAAACCGAGGCCGGTAAAAATTCGCTCTTCGTCTAGAATGCGATTTACGATTACGGCTAACTCCGCCGGAACCGCGATGCTAATACTAGGCTAACGGACGTTATACGTCTCGTAGAAGAGACGATTAGTTAGTACTAGATCCGGAATGCTAAACTAGTAGTCGTCGCTATATACGTCTTTGCCCTTATTATTCTTCCTAATAGGTCTATACTCTTGCGCCGCTACGTAACGACTGCCTTTATACTACGGGTCTATCGAACGGTACTGCTCCTTATCTACTAGTATAAACAGGTTTCGAATATCTATTACGCGCGACATCGCTACGTATAGCTGTCTATACGAGAATAGTAACGCCCGAAGGTCTATACCGACATTGTCGAGGGTTTAACCCTACGCTTTATTAATTGTTATCGCGTAGCATACCTTTAACGGAAATTAGCGCCTAGAGATCGCCTACGGATACCTTCTACTCTCGATTAATTTAATATATAGAATAAGGTACTCGGCGTCGTTATACTCGTCGTTAAGCTTATATACCGCGATATTATAGTCGTAGAGCGACGTTACTACTATACGCGTTCCGTTATAGATACCCTTATATAGGATTAGGTTTCTTATAATAGTTACTAGCGTTCCGACTTTTAAGCGTAAGAGGGCCGGTAGTAGACTAGGTAGCCGGAGTAGAGATATTATAGTAGATATACTCTCCTCGACTCCTAACTATTCGAGTGCTTTAGACGCCGCCTAATCGACGTAGTCTTTAGAGTAATACTTACGCGCCTCTTCGCTTCTAAATATACCGTTATAGAAGTCGTTAATCTAATCCGCTACGTCGTTACGTACGATAAGAAGTACGCGCCTACGTAGCGTAGTTCGATCGATATACGAAGCCTTTATTAATTCCTAAGGGTAGACGGCCTTTACTAGCTAGTTAATGTTTAGAACCTTCTTTAAGTACGGAGGTAGGCGTATCGGGCAATTAGCGTATAGTAGATTATACGCTAGGCGAAGGAGCTATCGCGAGTACTTTATCGCTACCGACGCTTCGGACTCCGCTTATAGTCGTATGTTTTTTGTTAACTATAGTACCCTAACGTCTGTCTAGAACGGCGTAGCGGTAATATATAGCTACGTAGCCGCCGCTACCGCCGCGACCTTGTCGCCCTTAGAAGTTATATCGAAGAGCAAATACTACGCGAAATCTCTACTAAACATAACTAGGACACTACTAAACTATAGTAGCGTTTTCTCCCTAAGTATCCCTCTAAGATCGTATAGGAGGTAGTAGACGACTATAAAGTCGAAGCGCCGCTACGATAGCGCCTCGTCCTAGATAATTAATATAGCGTCTTTAATTATATCTACTTCGAAGGTGCCTTTCTTTAGTATCGACTATAAATTTTCGGTACTATCGATAGGGATCTTAAAGCGATAGTACGCCGTCGTACCGCCTAGTAGTAGTAGGGCTACAATCCTAGTAGAAGCTATATAAAGCATAATCTTCCCTTTCGCGCGAAACGCCGTAGCTAAGGTTTTATATATAAACGTCTTCCTAGTACTACTAAACCTATTTAAGAAGCGAAGGAATAACGACTACTCTGCCTTCTACTCGATACTAGCCCGAATCTCGACGAACGCCCTTCGCTAACTAGGGTTTAAAGCCTCTAATATAGACGTATATAGGTCGAACTAGTCTAATCGGTTGTAGTCTAACTCGCGCCGCTTCGCTATATTAACCCTAAACTTCGCTTCCTAATATTCGTCTAGTATCGGTAAGGTAAGTTTCTATAGGTTTACTCTAGCGCGCCTTAGCTAGTCGATAATCGTTTAGAGCCCGAAGCTACGGATTTTCTCCTAGCGATCCTCGTCCGCTACGAACTCTCCCTAGCGATAGAGCGTTAAGTAAACGTCGCTATAAAACTTAT